GTCCTCACTGGGCAATGTTCTGATGACTGGTCGAGGGCTCCAGTTACCTTCATAACAGGAACAGGCACTCTAAATAGTGGTGAGGAGTATTTCAGTCACTATTAATATCTATCCTCGTTGGTAGGTTAATAAATCGGCATTATGGCTTATAAATCCTTTTCCCCCCTCGCAGAAGAGTTTTTAGAGCCTGGTGATATCTAGGGGAAATACTAACATTCATAAAACAGTGGTACTGAGCTCCAGACCCTGGGCTGAGTGTGCCCTCCCCACCCCCACCCCCTCCAGTTAATTAGGGGTTTCCAGCCCTGGATCTGTTGGGTAGTATCATTCATATCCTCAGTTGAACTTTGAATTTGCCCTTCTCTAACTCAGCTGGGCTTTATTCTGATCTAACCCGATCCTCTCGTTCACAGAGCACAGAAGTTTAGAGCTAGAGGACATGTGGAGACCATTTCTTGCAGAGGACCAGGGAGGGAAGTGGCGGGTCCAAGGTTCCATAGTGGGTGGTGATAAGGCAAGGTTAGAACCCCGTGGATTTACGTACCAATTCTGTCTCTCTATTTCATGATGCTTTATGGATGATTTATCCTTGAGTTGGGGATAAAATGACTTAGGAAGTAGAGCCTTTATCATATGTGTAGAGATACCTCATTGCCTGCCTTGAATATATTCTTGCAAATTTGATAATAAAGTGAATTTCAGTAAATTAAATATTCTATCATGTCTTTCAAAGATTAGAGATGTATTCCTTCCGTAAAAGCTTTCAGCCTTGGGTGTACACATGGATATAATAGAAAAAAAACATGCACTTAGAGCGAAAATAATTTTCCAATGAAATATTAAAATAATGTTCAGAATAAACCAACAACTATTAAAGTGTGAGATAATAATCTTTTTGTCTAGAGGAAGATATAGCCTGTCTATGTCTTTACATTTAATACGCATTTTTCTCTAGCCACAGGTAAATATTCCTTTGGAAAAGCTTCCTTCTTTCTGAAGGGTTTACCTTGCGTGATCACTTTTAATTGTTTATTTAACAGACTGGATTAGCTTGGTGCAATGTTTGCTTAGCAACTTGTGTAAATTTTTTATCATTAAAAGTCAGTTGCTGATGGCATTATTAAGATTTATTGCATCTGTAAATATGACTTTTTCTGCAGTGGGGGTTTTGTAAGTGGAACAGACAAAGAAGGAAGTAGTTATTTTGGTTTTTACTAGCCATAGGCTCATCTATTTTCTAATTTAATTTAAAAAACCTCTAAAAGGTTATAGGAGATAATATTACGTTTCAGATTCTTTAGAAAGAAAGTCTGGCATCAGTTTTCCTTCCTCAGTTCCTTGCCATGATTATCTCTCTGGGGCCAACACAATCCTTGTAACTTTCTTAGCCTGGTCCTGCGGCCAGTACATTTTGTATGACAGATGATTCCAGGAGGAAGGAAGAGCTTAAACAAACGAGCTGCAGAGCCAATCCTCACACTTTACATTAATTAATCATTTCAGCCTGCTCCCTCACTAAACTTTTACCTAGAGCAGCTAATAGGAAGCAAACGGATGGGTTTGAATTTCATCTCTCTTTGTTTTCCCTGCTCACTCTCTGGAAAAGGGGCTAATGAGCAGTGAAATGGCCAGTCATGAGCTGCCCAGGAGAGAGGCGCTGCCTGGGGAGCCCGCTGGCTGTGTAATCGGCTCCTGAATTATCACAAGGTTCCCCATGGTTTTATGAAGGTGTCTGAAACAGCCAGGATCCAGCACTGAGGGGAGTAAGGAGAGGAAAAGACGGTGTTCCCATTGGCACGACGTCCACTCTGCCCGTTGGATGGAAGCTGTACTCCCCAAGAAGGCTCCTTAGAGAAAACAATTTACAAGAGGCAAATATTGGTTTGCAAAGTGTAACAAACTTGTTAGCGTTTATAGCACAGACGCTGACACTGTTTAACCTAATAGCAAGCTGTTGCCTAAGCGTCTTTCAGAGGGTAATTAAAAGGCTCCTAGATGCACCGAAACCAATTATATTAAATTTTTATTTGTAGGGAGTACTCAAGGCTTAAGGTAAAAAAAATCAGAATTCGTAACCCAGCCAAAGATGTCTTCTCGCCACAGGCAACAGGGCTGCTGCCGAGGAGATCCCAATTAAAGACCAGGGCTTGGTTTCAAAGGCAGAGACCTCAAATCAGCTTTCCCCTGACCCAACCCAGTGCTACTTTAATGAGGGAAGGGAAAAGTTCACTACTGCGACATTATTAAGTAGAAATTGAGAGAAAGAACTGGTTATTCCTTTGGGGGAAAAAAAAAAAAGACCCAAGAAATGATGTGGGTCTACCTGAAGAAGTTTTAGTAGCAGCAGGGCTAGGAAAATCAATGTTGAGAGGGCTCTAAGAAGATGCTTTTTTCTAGAGAGCTGTATTCTTTGGGCATAATAATTGGTTCTTATTTGTTGTTTGCGTGTTTGTTAATTGCCAAAAACATCCAGCAGGTCAGTCTGTATGCCCCGGCTGAGTTCCAGGAGAGATGTCTATCAGGCGATTCAGCTGCTTACTCTCAGGCTGCCACTGACTGGCTGTGTGACCTCAGAGAAGTCACTTTCCTGCTCTGAGCATAAATATCCTAGGAGCTGTAAAGAGAAAGGAATACTTCCAGTTCTAAAAAGGGTCGGTCTTGCAGTGACAATACTCTGGATTCAGAAAATATCTCCTGTAACCCCTAAGTAATTTGGAAAATGCTGTCAGCCCTCACAGCTCTCTGCAGTTTCTTGTTACTGCAGTTGGAGTTACGGGCAGGCAGTGAAGTGAAGTGGCAGGCGCAAGGTGACCTTGTCATTTTTCAGAGGAGGATAGAGAACTGCACTCCTGACTTCAGCCCAGTGCTTAAGCCACTCAGGCTAGAACTGTATGGAAAATTAAAGGAGTCTGATGACATTTAATGTTTGGTTCTCTCCTGAATCAACTTTATCAAATCAACTCAGACACTTGGTTCTTTCCATTTTCTATCAGGCCTCTCTGCCCTCTTTGTTGTTTGACCAGAGTTCATCAACAGTAGCTGTAGCCAAGATTCCAGGATGGGAGTGATGGCATCTTTTTATGTCTACTTTGGCTACATTGGTGGGGTGTGGGATGTGACGTGAGCGCCTGCATGTGTGGGGAGAACTCATGTGTCACAAACTTCCTTCCCAGGAAGCTGTTCTGACACCCATTTTCCATGTTCCCAGCCAGGGCTGTTTCTGATGTCTGCATGAAGACATGGACTGGCCGGAAAATTTGGGGCTCTTTGCAAGGGCACATCTTTGGCTGGCAGCTCCCGCCTGTGTTTCTTGGCCCCACCAGTCATTCTCTGCTCCAGCTCCTTGCCACGGTCCTTGAAAATGGCTCTGGGAGGTCCTGGGGTAATCTCAGGTATGATCTGCACATGGGCATTTGATACGTTCACTGCTTTCTCTCTCCAACTCTGACTCATAGGATGCTGACTCTTTTTTTTTTTAATTGCAGTATAGTCAATTTACAATGTGTTAATTTCTGGTGTACAGCATAATGATTCAGCTATATATATATATTTCTTTTCATATTCTTTTTCATTACAAGGCATTGAATACAGTTCCCTGTGCTATACAGTAGGACCTTGTTGTCTGTCAATTTTATGTTTAGTAGTTAGTATCTACAATTTTTGAACTCTTAATTTATCCCTCCACAATCCCTTCTCCTCCTAGTAACCATAAGTTTATGTCTGTGAGTTTGTCTCTGTTTTGCAAATGAGTTCATTTGTATCCTTTCTCCCTCTAGATTCCACATATAAGTGATATCATATGATATTTTTATTTCTGGCTTATTTTGCCTAGTATGACAATCTTCAGATCCATCCATGTTGCTGCAAATAGCACTATTTTATTTTTAATGACTGAGTAGTATTCCATTATATAAGTAGTATTCCATTATATATACACAGCTTCTTTATCCAGTCATCTGTTGATGGACATTTAGGTTGTTTCCATGTCTTGGCTGTTGTAAATAGTGCTGCTATGAACACTGAGGTGCATTTATCTTTTCAAATTAGAGTTCTTTCCAGATATATGCCTAGGAGTGGGATTGCTGGATCATATGGTAAGGCTATTTTCAGTTTTTTGAGGAATCTCCATACTGTTTTCCATAATGGCAGTCCCAAACTACATTCCCACTGCAGTGTAGGAGGATTAGGATGCTGACTCTTGTCAGTGATGCTCTAGGTCTTGATATAAGTCCCTGGGCTGGGAACTGAGGATGACTGAATGTGTCATCTCTGATTGTAGCCCATTACTCTTGAAGTTTGTGTCATCTCTGATTGTAGCCCATTACTCTTGAACCAAACTTCTCTACCTCCTTTCTCTCTTTTTTTTCAGGATAGGACTTACTTTAGCAAGTCCTTAGTTCTTCACATAAATAGACTCCTCATATTTGAGTCTTCAGGCTCAAGCTGAAGTTCTTACCTCTGTGGATTCTAGACGTGGAGTCAAAGCTGCCCTTGGGCTCTTGATATCAGGATCCATGATGCCCAAAGACAGTAGGGAGAACCCTCAGTTAGCTCACTGTTCCCCTGGTGCGAGATGTCTCATCATGGGACAGGAGGAGAGGAAGGTATCTGGTCCCCAGTTTTGTGGCCTCGCTGCCCTCCCAGAACACCCCCAGGCTTACTTTGACCAAAGTGAAAAGTGGAGAATTTGCCTTTGCAACGACACTGTCATCTCTCTCTGCTTCTGCTGTTCTTCAAAGCCTGTTATTGGAGGTATGATGTGCCACCTCTCTGCTAGGACTCTCCAGGGGGCTACCTGTCTTGGCCTGACTGTCATAGGCAGGGCCTTGTGCTGTGAGCCCCTTCCTTCCCCTCTTTTCCTCCCATCAAAGCTTACCTGTCCAAGGTGCCACGCCATCAGGAGCTGCTCTTTTCTGGAAAATGATAAGCTGAGAGGTTGGATAATGATCATGACTTTGCCCTATCTCTTCAGCTGACTACCCCTGATGGAATGTGATCAGAGTTGAGAGGTGATATCCACCTTTGGGTTTCAGGACTGAAGACGAAGAGCCTTGCCATGAACATGAAAATGACAGCTCGCTGGGGAATGGGTGGGGCCCCTGCCTGTTGAGATGTGTTGACAACCCACACGTGTGGCCCTTCACTTACATCCTCCAGGGAGCCTTATAAGCAGAACTTATAGTTGGATAACTGTTTAGATGCAGAACATGCTGCCTCTCTGCAAAGGCACTTGTGCCTGATGATAGTTAAGATAACGCATGTTGTCTGTCTGCTGGAGTAAGGAAAGCTGGCAGAAGAGATCAAGTCTAGGGCTTCATTCAGGAGGCAACAGAAGAGTTGAAGGTGGGTATAACAGAATTAAAACGATGACCAATGGAAGCCATGGAAGTAAGAGAAGTGGGTGAGGATACAAGCAGGCAGAAGAGGGTATTGGAAAAATTTGATCCCGATTATTTTATGGAGAGCTGAGTTCTGGACACAGAGAGGTTTAAGGAGGAATAAGGTAAGTAGGTAGAGGGAAGGTACTGAGAAGGGTGGAATAATGTTCTCCTTGGAGGAGCCTGGGTGAAGGTCATTGTTAGATAGAAGGACAAGGGCAAGGGTACTCCTCTGGAGGTTTGAATACTCACCCTCACAGCAGTCCTGGGTGAGCAGATGGGAAGGCGGATGACTGGAAGAATGAATGAACACTGCCAGTATACTCTCTGAGCTTACAAAGACTTGTTGGGTGAGTCAGAGTTATTAATATAAATAGTAACGGTGGCAACAATATGTCCCAGTGACAGTCCTATTTTAAAAATTAACTTTAAAGTCTATTTTAAAATGTTGTTCTAAATCCCATGTACATTCTCTTTCGCATTCTTTTGAAGATTCCAGTCTGTTACTTACAGTGTTTATTACTTTTAAGCATATGGGAGTACATATGATGTCTGTCCACTTTTTTTTTCCAGAGCTAGTAAACAGACTGGGAACAGGGCCAATATAGTCATATTCGTTCCGCCATTGACCTTGGGCAGGCTCTCCAAGGTCAGTAAGGGTGGTTGGATTTTTGTCAGAATTGACTTGTTTTCAGCAGGAGCTGGGTCTCCCGTCTACTAACATTTGTAATCTTTCCTTACTATCTAGCCTGCTGTAAAATTACTAGTACAGTTTCCCCAGGCAATGACTTCATGATTTTCTACTTTTTTATTGATCAATAAACAGTTTTAAACCAAAAAACCCCACAGTGAGAATAGAAACTTATTTGGTACTTGTAACTACCTGCCTTGGAGAAGGAAAAGGGATTGGGAAGATAAGAGCCTTAGGTTCCTGCCGCCTCCCTGATGCCAACACCAATAGATGAAAATAGAATAATGCAGTTGTAGGCTAACAAAACAACGTTTGACTACTGTCTGCTGAGTACCTGGTCATCTCATGAAATTAACTCCTTGTGTCCTTGTCCCCTGGATCTGTGTACACCTTCTGAAAACCTCAGGAAGGCAGACTTCGGCTGGTGTGTTCACTGCTCCTTTTCCAGTGCCAAGCACAGTGCCTACCATCACATTAGGGTTGAGGAAAACATAAGGGAGCTATCAGGATTGAGAATAAGAGGGTGAATTTATTTTTCTGTTATATTGAGACCGGTTTCCAGTAATTTCCTTGCATAAGTTCCATCTCTCCAGCGAGACTTAAGGGGAGAACCCAGGCCCTATGTGTTTTCTTTTTCCTGTAGCAGCGAAAGTAGTTTATGACCACGGAAATACCCTCCAGGCGGTAATGACTATGTTTCCAATGGTTACGGCTTCCCATCATCCTATTTGCTTTCTTTTGGTTGTGTTTTTGGGTAAATGGAATTTTGAAAATAAGTTGAGAAAATAAGGCAATATTTTTTAGTAAAACCAAATCAATAACCAGCTAAGGATAACAGAAAATTTGTGATTCGAAAACTGTTCGCATGGGCACATTTTGAAGGATGGAAGAACTTTCTTCTCATGTTTGTTGATATCATTTGTTTTATCCGAGGAGGGAGGATGAAATGAAAGCCTGCTTTTTTTTTTTTAAGCAATATTGAGTCATTTGCTTTTCTGATAAGAAATGCTGAGAAACAGTCTACCTTTGTTTTTCCTGTATTCCACAGGAAACTTACCGACAAACTCCTGTTGTCTACATAATGCTTAAAATCCAGAAATGGCAAATTCAGTGACGACACAGGCAGGGTATCAAGGAAAAGGGAGGGATGGAAGAGCTAGTTTATAGTTCATCAAAGTAAGAAAACCCTCTCCACAAATCTTCCTTAAATAAAACATGTGCTTTAACTCACCAAAGTGGAATCAGACTTTGGGACCTGGAAGGGCGTTGGGAGCCTCTATTTCAGTCTGCTTATTTACATACAAGGAAACGATCCAGAGCTTTTTGAAACAGACCCGTGACTGTCTGAAGTCACGTGTGAGTCAGTGGCAGAGCCCTCCCTCTCTGGACCCCAGACCCGCCCGGGGTAGGGGGTGAATAGGGATCACCAGTCCTGATGGTTCTCGTGATACCCGCAGGACACAAAGCTGTGTCCCAGTCCCAGATGGGAGCCCAGGTAGTCTTTTCCTTCCATGCCTTTGCTAGCCCATTTTTCTCCCAGGGGGCCTCCTCAGGTTGCTGGGTACCTCAGGCCCCAGGGTAACCCTTTCCAGGGCGTTGACAGAAAGCCTGGGTGTGTGGTCAGGAGTGAGGTTCATTGCCGTGAGGCACTGAACCTCACTCCTCCACACCAAGAAGGTTGCCCAGTGCCCAGGGGCTCCGTGTGTAATGGCTGCAGCCCAGCAGACCCAGTAGCAGTGAGGCATAAAGCCTTTCACTCAGCCAACTGATGAAAACTCTGTCCTTTTCAAAATGTCCCAGAAAGCCAAAATAACTCATATTTCCCACGCAACGTTAGAGCAGATTTATGCCCCTTTAAGAACACATGGGGTGTAAAAAGATGAAGGGAGAGAGGGCCTAAAGTTTTACATATGGCACCAAGGTAATCCTAGCCGAGTTGGCTCCTCTCTGGAGAGCGCCGGCAGGGTATAATTAGAACGGAGATCGCCATCCCAACAGATCTATACTTGAGCAAATCGTGTCTTAAGACAAAATTGGAACCAAGGCTAAATTTATCAATAAGGGGGTTTAAAAAAAGGAAAAGAAGACAAATGAAGTTGAAATTTCTCCTTGTTTATTTTAATGTGCAGAACATTCGCTAGCTGATTTATGCCACAGCTTCAGTGTATTTTTCATTTTTTATTTATTTTGCAGTTAATTGGATTTCCAGGCTCTGCAGCCAGTCACTGCAATTGATCCTTGAAAAGATGGATTTATTGCTTAGACAGGCAGAATTCTGACAATCTTCAGAGGTTGGAAAATAAAAGAAAACAGCCCATACACAGAGCACTGTGGGTCACCATTGGGTCAGACCAGGAAGATATGTTACAGCCAGCAGGTTCATGCCAGAAGTTCAGCACCAGGAGTCTTCTTGCTAAATGTGCAGCACCAGGATCCAGTGGAATCTTTTGTAGGATATTGTCAGTCATACATGCTTAGGAGGAAATATAGCTTAAGATGGAGACACCAAGGTAGATATTAGATCCCAGAAATGTTGGAAAATTAGCTAAACTTGAAACAGCTCACAACCTTGGTGGCTCACTCTGGAATGGGACCTTATTTTCCCTGCTGGGTAGCCCTGTTGGAATGGCATAATGGCTGGGGGGCGGGGGGCAGAATCAGTATGGAACTCCTGTCTTCAGCTACTCTTTGCAGAGGGTTCTGGAAATTTGCCAGTGATAAGCAGCAGAACATTACCCTCAGTTCTCCAAAAGTCTGACATCCGTTCAGCCATTTGCATATCTTGCATCCATGCATCAATCCATCCATGTAATAATTTTTTATTGAGCCCCTACTATATGCTAATCCCTTAGCCTGGTGCTGAGCATAGAGAATGGATAATAAAACAGTATTTCTTCACAAGAATGGAAAATATTTGATAAACTTAGAATGATGGGCTTATTAAACTATAGTGTTATTTACAGCCATAGTTCATCAATCACAAACACAATAATGTGTTTGCATGACATGTTACAACAGAAGCTTTATTTGGTTTATTCAGAAAGCATTGGCAAAATAAATTTCAAAGGCAAATTCACAGATACAGGCTTCAAAGTATAAAGTTGTACTTAACAAAAAATACAGGTGCTACTTATAACAATAACTAAGAGATACAAACTAATGATAAACTATAATTGCACAAAGGATTGTAAACATTTTGCACACTTGTCAGTCCTTTCTTTTGGGCAAGGTCATATTTTGATGACAAATAAATTAACAGATACACACTTGAGTGAACTATTTCCATACAATACAAAAAGAAGTTTGGTTTGTTTTCTTCTTGTAAATATAAGTTTTGCAAAAAACGAAAAATCAGTAAAAATGCCTTGGAGGCCAACTAGAGATTTATACCTGGGCAGCAAAGTGATTTTGGAAATGCTTTGAGTGTTAAATAAAAATTTAATTAATAATTAATTAGTATCTTTTCAATGGTATTTTATACATAATAAATGACAAGTCCCTGTCCTCATGGAGATTATAACCTATTGGGCAAGGACTGATTCCAAGTTTGCTGCGAATCAGGAAAGAGAAGTTCAGGAAGCTGCAGGAACATATTACAGGGGGACCTACCCTGGTCTGGGGGTTGGGGAAGGCTTCCAGAGGAAATGCTGTGAGCTGAGACCAGAGACTGAATATACAAATAGACAGTAGTCAGACCATATGTGAAATAGAAATCTGACCCATAATCTGCAGCAACCAGCCCGGGACACCAACCTATTATCTACAGTAACCAGCTTGGGCGGCCAGCCTGTGTCTGTAAGTCAGACTTGTTGGAAGTCAGACCACTTTCTCCAGCAACCAGCCCAGGAAGCCAAACAATAACCCCTGTAACAACTGGCCCGAAACAGCCACGGCTGGATTAGTAATTGACAGCATCCTTAATTTTTGTCCTTACTTAGGATCAACCAGAGAAAGCCAAATATGCACCCCTAACCAATCACATAGAACGTGCTACTGCTATACCTACTGCTTTCCCATGCCAGCAGCCTCCAATCAGGGCACGCCTGAAACCTGTCCTTTCTGCCTTATAAAACCTTCCTACTCCTCTGCCAGCCTCTGAGACTCAGCCAAAACCCAAGCGATAGTGGCTGACTCCCTTGCTGTAGCAAGCTCCGGATACACAGCCTTTGCCTGTTCTCACTTGATTGATCTCTGTTGGTTCCACAGACCTGAAGAATGAGCATGTGCGGGCCAGACAGTGGCCAGGAAAAGAGTGTTCCAAGAGATGAAACAGCACATGCAAAGACTCTAAGACAAGAAAGACTAAGGTACCCTCTTCAAACTGAAGAGTCAACCATGACTGAAATGTGGAGGATGATGCAGAGACTGGCATGAGATAGGGCTGGAGGACAGGGTTTTGGGGGGAGGGTTGGGATCCTGCAGGACCTCGTGAGCTGTGTTGGTGACTTGGGCCTTTATCCTAACCTAAGCCTCTTTTATGGCTGATGCTTGGGAGTTTCCTCCTTAACCAGTGCGTTTCCATTGTGACTGGTCTCCAGCTCCCGTCTGCTGCTGTGTATGTGAGCTGCTTATGTCCCATCTGAGGGCTTACTTGCTTTGAGAACTTTTTGTGTTTGTTAGCATTGTTTTCCCGACGCAGATGCATGGGCAAAGATGGCTTACTGTGTGGGTCCTGCTGTATGCCAGGACCAGCGTTCCTGTCCTTCTGAGCGGTGATAAAGGATTCCCCAAGCTCCTCTCTGTCCCTGCACCCAGCCCGGCATAGGAGGAAAGGTCAATGTAGCAGAGATTGAGACTTATTCCTATATCTGTTCTCACCTTCTATGGTGATAGAACATACTGTCAATTAGATTGGAGGTATTTCCCAGTCTCCTTTGCAGCTCAGTAATAGGCTTTTGGCTAAGGTTGGGCCAATGGAATTCAAGGGGAAGTGAATATACAACTTCTGGACATGCACCTAAAAGACCAGGGCACGCCTTTCACTTTCCGCTGGCTGCGGTGTAGAGGTGGTACCATTTTGGACGATGCGTACCAGGGATGGCAGAACGACCAGAAAGAGCGTCATGACTGACGGGGACTGCTTACATCTGGAAAGTTAGGCAAGAGAGAAATCTTTTTATCTTATTCAAGTCACTATTATTTTAATCTCCGCAACCACAGATGACCTCTATCTTCATTCAGCAATTCTCAAAGTGTGGTTCCGGAATCCCTGGGGGTGTGTGTGTGTAGGGGCGGGGAGACTCTTTCATGAGGCTCATAACAGTACTGACTCTTTATTTGCCTTTTTTATTCTCATTTTCTCATGAGTAGATTCCTGAGTTTTCCAAAGGCTAACATGATGAGTGATATCACAACAGGTTGAATGCAGAAGCCAATACACGAATACAGCTGTCTTCTGTTAAGCCAGCTGTTAAAGAGCTTTGAAAAAGTGAAGAACAATGTCATCCTTCTCAATCAAATTTTTTTGAAAATATAGTTTTTTAAATAAAAATTATGTTTATATCTTTATTATTGCTATTTTAAAATGGCGATTTGTTTAAAAATTCTTTTTTGTTACTTCTAGTTTTTTAAAAATGTTATTTATTTATTTATTTTTAAGTGACATACAGTCAGTTACAATGTGTCAATTTCTGGTGTACAGCACAATGACTCATGCATATACATACATGTATTTGTTTTCATATTCTTTTTTGTTAAAGGTTATTACAAGATACTAAATATAGGTCCCTATGCTATACAGAAGAAATCTGTTTGAATTAAAAAAAATTTTTTTAACAGAGGTACTGGGGGTTGAACCCAGGACCTTGTGTATGCTAAGCACATGCTCTACCACTGAATTATACCCTCTCTCCAGCAATTTGTTTTTAAACTAGCAATTTTGTTAAAAAAAAAACCAAATGCATGAAGGAATGTTAATTTTTTTCCATTTTAATTTCTAATGGTAAATATGGAGAGACGTAAACCACATATATGAAAGCACTTTGGGGCTGTCAATAACAAAGTCCATAAATGTTTGAGAAAGACTGTCCTAACTAATCCAGGCAGCTAGACGTTCCTTATTGATGAAAAGTCACCAGCTCCAGGTCCCATGTACCTGCTGTTCTGGGGATCAGCTGAGGTGGCTGTCACTCCTTCTCTTTCTGCACTCTGCTTCTGATCTCTTCTCTCCTGGTTTCCTTTGATTCTCCAGGAATTGTTCAGTTAACATAGAATCCACTGAACATTTCTTCTCCCCTCCAACCTTCACTGCTTCACTCAATAATGAAGTCCCTAATATGGGCTAGGGTGGTACTTGGTCTGCAGGTCAAGGATGACCAGGACACGGTTGCTACTTTGGCTTGGCTCACAGCAGTGGAGAGGGACGGTGAGCAGACAGTGGCAGCTCAGGCACTCCTCAGCACAGTCATGGATTGTGTCAGGTGTGGAAGTGACACAGAGAAGGGCTCTGCCTGGGGGGAAGCGGAGGCAGTGTGCAGGGAGGTTTTAAGGCAGAGGTGACTTTGAAGGAAGCTGAAAAATAAATATAAATTAGCAAGTTTCTATGCAAGGAGTGCTGGGAGGGGGAAGGGCACCCAGGCAGAGGAAACAGCAGGGGCAAGGGCACGGTGACTTCATAGTGCAGGGTGTTTTTGGAAAAGTCTCAGTGGTTCATTATGGGCCAAGAAGCTGGAAAGGGGCCAGGACTCATTAAGTAATGATAAACAATTTGACTTTTAGTTTTAAGGCAGTTGGAAATCATGGAATAATTTTAAACAGAGTGTGATGTGATCATATATGATTTCAGAACGGTAGCAAGGGTTCTTCACCTTGCTTAGGGGCTGTGTTCACCTGCTTCCGAGAGATGCTGCTACATTTTGGCAGGGCTGGTGGGTGGGGTCTCTCTGGGGAGACCCCTTTATTCCACACATCACAGCCAATTAATGGCCCCTTCATTTTTGAGAGGAGGCAGGGGACAAATGATTCTGAGTGTGGATGGTGAAGTGTGTGGATGGTGAAGTATGTGTTTTTTGAAATTAATTAATTCATTAAATTATTTATTTAGGTTAATGGAGGTACTGCGGATTGAACCCAGGACCTTGTACATACTAAGCACACACTCTACCACTGAGCTATACCCTCCCCTCAAGTCAGGGTTCTTTTTATTCATCTGTCTGAATAGAACCCCAGGCATTAGTGTCTAAACTCTAGGGAGGGAAGGGCTGTACAATAATTTAAAAGAGCTGTTTTTTTGTCTGTAATTATGACTACTTAGCAGTTACAACTAATTATAACTTTATAAGTTTGTCACTAATGATAAATATTTTTGAGCACCTCTTATGCTGCACGTGCAAGTGCATGTCATCCTCACAGCAACCCCTTCAGCTACGGCCTATGCTATCTCCCTTTGTATGAACAGGATATTGAGGCAGAGAGAATTTATGGGATTAAACGCTGCCGCCTGGACCCTGAGGCTACACCCTTGACTGTCACCCTGCACTGCCTTCTAGTCAGAAGACTCCATGCAACAGGCTGGGGGACCTGCAGTGTCAGTTCATTACTGTCATAACTTTTCTCTTCTCACCAAGGCCCGAGTGACTGGAGAACGCACAGTTTAGAAGAGTGACCAGCAGCTTCAGCGTTGCCTGGGAAGCTTGTTAGAAAGGCAAATTCTGGGGCCCTGCCTCAGACCTACTAAATCGGAGACTCTGGAGTCGGGGCCCAGCAAACTGTTTTTCACAATCCCACTGGGTGATTCTGATACATACTGAAGTTTTAAAAGTACTGGATTAGAGATAAATCCTGGGATGGGGGTGTGTGTGTGGAGGGAGGGAGAGAGAACAGATCGGAGGGAGAGACTGGAAGCCAAAGCCCATTTTGGAGGTTGTTGCCATCACTAGGGTGAGAACTCAGCCTGAAATCAAATTCTGCAGTTTCAGATCATCTGAGAAGCTTTTGAAACATACCAGTGCCCTGACTTCACCCCAAGCCTATTAAATCTGACTCTCTGGGGCATAGAACCCTGGCATCAGTTTGTTTGTTCATTTGTTTTAAGAAAAGTATCCACCAGTGATACTGATGTGCAGCTAGGGGTAAGAATACATGGCTCTCAAACTTGAAGACACATCAAAATCTCCTGGAGGGTTTGTTAAACAGAGGCTACTGAGCCCCACTCTCAGAGTGTTTGATTTAGCAGGTCTGGGCTGCAGCCTGAAAATCTGCCTCTCCAGCCTGCATCTCTGTATCTCCAGTTCCCAGATGATGCTGATGCTTCTGGTCCAGGGACCAC